GATGCAACTAAAAATATGCTACAAAATCTAAAATAATTTCCTTCAGTTAATGTTATATACATTTAAAAGTCTTTTTAAAAAATATTTAAAAAAAAATTAGATCTAATTGAAATTAGTACTAAAGAAAACAAATATTATTAAATAAAAGATATTTTATATACATACATACATGTGTATGCTTTAGATGGCCTAAGTAAATCTAAGTTAACTCTAAAGCATAAAAATATGCTATGCAAAACATATTATTATACATCCTAAAACTATACTATTATATTTAAATCCATTTAGCAATATGATTTATATATTTAATCTAAAATTAAATTCTCTTCTTTGTTATTTAATATTTTCAGTGAATTTCCTCAATGAAAAGTATTAAAAATAAAATAAAAATTTTACAAAATCATAAATACATTGAACAAAAGAACAAAAAATGAAAAATTATGGGAGATGTCCCCAAATATGTTGTAATTATTTCCATTTCGGGTCACTAACTTCTTAAACAAGTTTCAAACAAAACAAAAAAAAAAAAAGCGCACCTAAAGGCAATTTGTTAAAACTTTTACAGTGTTTATCTAGAGCAAATCGAACTAGTTAAGGGGCCTCCAAAAAACGGCTGTTTTGTTTAGAATGAAAAAAATTAAGATATAAGCATTTTATATACAGATCAGCGTAACAGTAGAAGCTTATTAAGGCGGTGAGTGGTTGAAGTCGATTTTCGATTTCGTTAATGCTTGCCTATATACTAGATAATGCTTAAAGAGTTCTGCTTAAAAGAGTTAACAAAAATAAAGGTTGAGAGAGAGAGAAAAAAAAACACAATATGGAAATGTATTACAACACGAATTTGGCCACTTCTCCCCAGAGATCTTTCTATCATCAATAATTTCGAGGATTTCTACAGCACACCTGCCGCCTGGTCATATCGCTTATTGCCCATTCCCAAACATTGTTGCTTGATGTTGGAAATATTTTTACATTAAAAACTCTGATTGGTTAACAAACAATAGAGTTTTGCAACGTTTTTTTTTTTTAGTATTGCGTTCATTTTTCAGAACGTTTTCATTTGATTTTCGTTTATACTGTGTGCGGTGAATTTACGGTTTTTTGCTTTAGCGTTTTTTTACTTTTTGGTTAATTGTTCTTGTTGTTATTGTTGGAAAAAAGTTAATATTTTGCATTAAAAATTGATTAATAGTTTAATAATTAAAAGAAAGTAAAATGATTAGTTATTTAGCAAATAATTATATGATTTTTAACAAAATACTTAGTCTAAAAAAAGTTAAACGATTTATTTTTATGTTATTCTAAATTTGTTTGTTTTTGCATCATTATTATTAATTATGATTGAGAATATTAAATAAAACTTAAATATCAATAAAAAAATCAAAAAATAACGAAATGCTGGTAGTACGAACTCATAAATAACAACAAAAGAGATATTAAAAAAATAATTAATTATGTAATTTAATTAACAAAACAAGGTGAAATGTTAATGGGACTTTTGGGTAATTATTGGGAGTAGGGGGAAATATTAGTCCCCATCTCATTATTGTAGTTTTACTGCTGTTTGCTGCTACACTCACACATTTTATAAAATTTTATTTAAAACAATTTAGCAATTAATTGCATTCTAACCATTGGCATTAGTTTTGCCTTTAACCAGTTGAATTCTATTTTTGATTTTAAGTATCTTCAGTATAATTTAAATAGCAAGAATTTAGATTGCCCTTGTTGTTTATTAGTACGGAAATTTTGAAAGAATAATAATTTTACAACATAAAAAAATAAATACATAATTAATAAAATATAATTCATAGAAATATATCGGAAGTATGTAGTATATTTTAAGTTATAGAATGAAATAAATAAAATTAAAAAGTTTTAGAAAACGAAATATGCATAAACCATTACAACATGAAACATTGAACGGTTTTATATGACGCACACAAATATGTATCTCGAAAAAAGAACACACTCTTCTCGATATCAATCGATCTGAATTATACATACATACAAACGTATTTAACAAAATATTGTTTCGGTTTTCCATTTTTGTAAATTTAAAGACACAAATTTTTATATCTGAAAATCTATAACGGCTTTTATATGGGAAACTTTGAAATCCTATGAATACACTTCTTATGGCGGACTAGCAAGTAGTGGAAGTGGTTCTTCCCATAAAAATCAAATGTAAAATATTGTTAATATTTTTTTACGTTAACAGCCGAAGAGATAAACAGATGTATCTTAAGCGATTCAGAAGATTATTCAGAAATTATACAAAAAAATGTTTCTTCACAAGGGGCTTACTTAATATGAACATCTTCTCGATAACTTATTAAATTACACTTTTAATAAAAAGCTATTTTAAGGAATTCCTGAATTTTGAAAACATATCGATAAATTTAGATATATTCATTTTTCCAAACTGTGGACTTATATTATGAATTGAATATTTTTCGGGCTCGAGTTCGAGTCTCACTTTTTTCCAAATTGTAATGATATAGGACCTATCCTCACAATATTTGGTAGAGAGATTTTGGCTAATATGAAACTTATTTATGTAGAATTTCAACGCTAAACTCGCATTTTTAAACAAGTAAGAATTTATAGTCGGGCATGGCTGACCATATGATACCCTACACCAGTGATTTTGTAACAAATTTTGATTAATTTTATAAAAATAAAGTACTTAATTTCATTTATACCTTAATTCAGAAATATTTTAACAACTTGTTGACAAAAAAGGGATTTTCTAAAAGAAGGGTTATAGAGGAGTTGAAGTAAAAAAAAAAATTTGGTAGAGATATTTACGTGTTTATAAGTAAATTTTGATCATCAAGTCATTTTGTGAAGGGGACTTAATATGGGCGATAAATTAGGCCCGATCATTACGAAAATCAGCAGTATCATTAAGACTTATATAAAACTAAGTTTTGTCAATTTTTGGAGTGATACAAGAACATTTAACATATATATGAACTCTAAAGCCCTATTCTGGGGGTACGGTTGTATGGAGGCTATACGAAATAATGGACCGATTTCAACCATTATAGGCTTCGTCCCTGGGTCAAAAGAAAGGTATGTGCCGAACTTCATCTAATTATCTTTAACATTGTGACCTGTAGAGTGCTCACAGACGGACGGACGTATACTGAGCCGATTGGTATACTTTAAAGAGGGTGTAGGACCAATATTTTTGGGTGTTACGAACATCTGCACAAACGCTTAAAATCCTCCCCACTATAGTGGTGTAGGGTATAAACAGTTATGACTTTTAAAGCTTGTATGGGGCTATGCGAAAACGTGAACCAATATTGTCCATTTTCAATACCAAACAAACTTTACCCATGGGAAATATATTCAAATCAAGCCTCTGTTTCTCTTTCCGTTCGAAATCTATCGTGCTTTCAGCAGACAGACTGACGGACGGACAGACATGGCTTGATCGTCTTTGAATTTTGATTTTTTGTAGGTCTATGACTAATATTTCTATGTATTACAAACGAAATGACATATTTTTTGATGGCGGGTATAAAAAGCTCGTAATATTTGATCTAACTCAATAATGTAGAATGAAATTGAAATAAGGACTTCGTTACAATTCCCATATTCCATTTCTTCAAAACTTTGCGTTAAATAGATGATGTGTAAAAGTGACAAAGCATATGGCACAAGAAGATTGTTGATGAAGAGCCGTAGCAGGTTGAATTCCAAAAAAAATTTTTTTTTACAATATTCTTTTAATTAAAAATATCATTACAATTTGGAAAAAATTTATCCCCAAGTGGTACTCGAACTCGATCCTAAAAAACATTCCATTAATGACATATCGACAAATGTTTTAAAAACTTTTTTAGTTTGATTACAAGTTTTTCATACACCAAATTGAAAGTAAATCAGAATTGATTATAGTTGGAGTAATCTACCGAACTTAATCAGCCTTGAAAAGAACTAAGTGTGCCAATTGAGTACTCTTTAGGAAGTGCAAAACAATATTTTCTTTCGATTATTTTAAGTAAAATTATGAAAATTAAAAAGTAAACAACAAAATAAACAAATAAATAAACAACATTATATTTTAGAAATATTTTTTTTTATTTGTTTTAACTTCATTGCTATTTACAGCAGCATATGACAGCATAATTGTTGAAGAATTTTTTGTAAGCTGTGATAGCGATTTTTTAAAGAATAGATATATTTTTTTGTATACAGTAGAATATTTGATAAAAGTTGAGAATTAGTTTCAGATTATTTTGTTAACTTTTTCGCACAACAAACAACAAAGCATAATAACAATATTTAACTCAATAATGATAAAGTAATAACAATTAATAGAAATTATTAAAGATATATATTTAGATTAAATTAAAAGAAACCTTAATTACTTGTTTTTTACTATTTATTGTAGTGGTAATGGTGAAGTAAGGCAGTTTTTACAGCATTTTTCATAAGAAAAACCAAATGAGATTAAGATTGTAGTTTTTTGTAGTTTGAAATTGAATTGAATAAATATGTAATTTTTACACTATGCCAGTGAGCAAATAAAATTAATCTTAAGTGCTTTGAAGATGTTTTTAAATCATCAATAAAATTTTAGAATTTTAAAATAAATTTGTCATAAATATTAACAATCCATGAAAAAACGTTTTAAATTGTTGTACATTGCTTTTTGAAACGTATAATAAATTTACGAAAATTTATTACCGGTTCTCAGGCATATTTGTCCAAATATAAATTGACAATTTTAGGAAATAGTGTAAAAATTATTATTTTTTTTACTAAATTTGTGAAAATGTTGAATGAAAATATATTAAACTTAAGATTTAAGAAAAATAATAATTTTAAAATTAAAATAATTTAAAGAAAAATAATAATTACTTAAAAACGTATAATTTGAATTAGTTGAAATAAAAATAAAGTAAAGTTAAATATACTTAATTTTTTATTAATAGTTTCTCAAATATCATTTAATAAAATTGTAAATCAATCGAACTTACCCTGGCGGCAAAACTTGTATTCGGTTTTTCTAGCAATTCCCATAAGTATTTCTGATATTCGGCGCATTTACCTTCACCAAATTCTTCTTCGTCTCTTTGTCGTAGCGATTCGGCTTCTTTACGCATTTCTTCGTGCACGTTTTCTTTGCGCTGATGGTATTTGTGCTGACAGCACGACTCCAGGTAGAGTTCATCGACGCCCCAATACTCGAGATCATCGCTGAAGGCCAGCACACACATCTCGTCGACAATGTGTAATTTACCCGTACGATAGAAATTTAAAATGGAACTAAAACTTTTGGGATGGCGATCGAAGAAATACTCGTTGTCGACCAGCGAATAGTCATCGCACAACTCTATAATGGCTTCATGGGTCGTGCATTCGTGAAGGCGGCCGAGACGTGTGTGGGGCAGACGTTCGAGGGTGCGCCAGAGGACTTCGTGTTTGACACCGCCCACATTGATGGATACGCGACTGTTCATTTGCTTCGACTGTGCTATCATAAAAGGTTCCGGCGGCGGGATGGAGGACATTGATCTGGAATGTGTCCGTTGTAGAGCGCCAGCATTGATGGCGCCCTGGTGCAGTTGGGAAGTAGTGGGATTCGAATGTGTGGGTGAGGTGATGGGGAATGGAGCGTAGCGTACTTCTTTGCCAGTGCCCGAACCAGAAGTTGTAGTCGTAATGGCCGTGCTGCCAGGCACGCCAACCAGTGTGACATCGTTTGACCAGCCGACAGCACTCGCCGTACTGCCACCTGCCATACCACCAGCAGTGTGTGTAGTTGTGGCGGATGCGCCAGCAATGCTGCTACCATCAATATAATCCATGTTGCCACCAGTAGCGGCGCTGGTATTGATGCCGGCACCTCGCGCGGCTGTAGTACCTTGACTAGCGTTATAAGCAATACTGCCAGCTGTTGGGATAGATCCATCGCCGCCAATGTATGCACCAGTTCCACCGGTTCCCATCGCCCGGCCCCAATCGACATTACCGCTGGTGTCGTAGTAGGGTTGATTATCACAGCCGTCTCCGATATTGGCCGTTGTGGTAGTTGATGTTGCACTGTTGCGTCCAAGAGTTTCGTTATCGATCCAGCTGTTGGATTGTTGTTGATAGTTAAATTCCTGTTGCTGTATTTGCTTTTGTTTTGGTATGATTTGTTGTGGCGGTTGTTGTTGCTGTTGCTGCTGTTGTTGTGAATCACGTTGTATTGTTTGTTGTTGTTGCTGCTGTTGTTGTTGGCTTGTAGCCTGTCCACCATGCAATTGTCCCACCATTTGTAATACTCCATTATTGTATTGGGTCGGTGGTGTTGACGCACCCGTTTCCCAGCGTACCGTTTCACGGTCTCTATCACGTTCGCCGACCATAGAACCGCTATTTAAAGAGAAAGCAAAACAGTTAATAAATATTTTTTTTTCAATTTCAGATTTAATTTTCATATACATTTAAGAAAAAGCTAAAATTTTCATCAACTTACCGCTACATTTCATCTATTGATCCTTTTCTTTGTTAACATCAACCATTAATTCATGAAAAACTGAATAATTTAACTAGGTTTTCGATATTCTAGGAGTTTTGCACAGAAAAAATTTGTTGTCCTAGGGTTGTTTGTTGTTGCTGTCTTTTTAACTTAAATCACAGATTTTTCTTTGTTGAGTTCTTTCTTTTGAGATGTTGCAACAAAATATATTTTTTTTGTTCTAATGAAGTTTTCTTGATGGACTTATTATATTTAGAATTTACTTTATTACAACAGACTTTATCTAATTATATACATATTTATGTACTCGCATGTAAATATATACATATGAATGTATGCAAGTATGAATGACGTTGTATTAATTATAAGTTATATTTTATTTTAGCTTTTTTTTATATTTGTGGCAGCCAAATGTGTTTTGTTTGAAATTTATATCCTCCACATGGAAATGATGATATTGGTCTGAAAATAAAATAAGAAAAACGAAATTATTACCCGATTAATTAATATCTTTTTTTATCATTCAGAAATATATTATCAATATTTTCTGTTTGATTATTTATTGCATGCGTGGTGATTAATAGATTATGCAGGAATTTGTGTGGTGCATATATCCATTTGATAACCGTTTCATATTATGTACCCTACTAAAGTTTGGAGAGGCATTTTAGCTTTAAATTTAGGAAGAGTATATTTGTAAAAAGTTCAAATTTGATCGGAGTCCCCGGCTTATGTTCTAAGGATAGAAGCAAATATTCAACCCCCAAAACCATTTAAGATATGCACCCAGCTGTATTCACAAAATAGATTTTATTTATATTATTTGAACAGCTAAAGTGTTTCCAATTTAGTTACATAGCAGAGCATAGGGTTCAATACAGTTCGTTGAATTCAAGTGAAGCCTGTTTTTAGGGTTATTTTAATTGTTTGGCATAAAAAGTAATGTATTATTATCTCTTAATCAATAGGGGTGTAAATCAATAATAAAAATATAATGATAAAAATATTTTTACATTCTCTTAATACACGTAGCTAAAAGGAAATATTATGGGGATTATTGTATAATATAAAACTAAAATTATAATTATATTGATAAACATATTAGCTCGCTTTTTAATTTTATAGATGTTTTGATCAGTGTACGTTTTTGCAGTGTATTATAAAACTATATTGCAGTAGGTATTTGTCGATATTAAGAAATTGTTTAATTTTTCGAATTATAGACAAATAATATTTTCATTTTAGTTCCAATATCACTTTTAATTTTTAAATGATCAATTTGGTGATTAATGTCATTAGGGACATAGTTCGTAGCGCCCGCTAATAGGAGATAGTCCCACCGAAATCCAGTTGTACAGAAAATCTGATAGTACACAATAAGTAAAAATATACTTTATCAACTAACTCCCCAACCTCGAGAATGAAATAGGGCCCCAAAAAGAAATAACTAAGTCCTTAAAAATCGTTGTTGTTTTCCTTAATATAACAATTCGGGTACTTAATTAATTATCGGTTTGGGGATTTAGTTCATTGTAAGTACATATTACGATCGCCTGCTCATATGCTAAGTTAAGTAAGTAATTTCGGCATCTACCATTAGTTTTCACAATTTTTTTCCGTTTGTGTTAAAAACAAAGTTCAAAAACAAGTAATATGTTATTTCTAAGTCATCACTAGACTCCTTATCCTTCATTGAAAAGTAAGTAGAAGTCAATACCAGGGTTTTCCTGGGTATATTTATACATATATAGTTTATTAATATATTTAAATAAACTTGAACCTTAATATTTTGTTTTAAACTTAAATGCGTCTTTTACACAAACATTTTAACATATTTTTTTTTAAAGTGGGTTAAGGACATTCTACTAATTGTTCAGTCATTATGCAAATGCATTATAATTATGGAATGTCGGCGTGCGTGAATGCAGGTGTATAGAAACATGAATATTATAGTCTAGGTGTTGACTAAATTAGAACCTGTTAATAGCACATATTTTAATTAATGAAACGTACAGTTTAAATAACTGGGAAAACTTTTATATATGTACATTAGGGTTGCCACAAAATTGATTTATATACAATGTTTGTCCTGACGTCATTATGTGATGATTAAGGGATAAAAATTTAATTTTATAATTACATACATATGTATTTCCATATTTCTTACCAAGAAAATATACGAAATTTGGTATCGAAGACGCGAAGACGTTTCATATGTCTTCGCGCTTTCAATGCCATAAAAATATTCTTCAAGGTATTGGTCGGAATTCAAGATAATTTGACACGTTCGCTTCTTTAGGCCAAAGTTTTAAATCGGTACATCTAGATCCCAAACAAACAGACACTCCGAAAGATATTATTTTTTCCAATTGTATAAAATATAACTTTTTAAAACAAAATCTTAAGGCTAAAGTAATACTTTGTAAGTTATTACCACAATCCTTCTAAGTAATACACACGATATGTAGTAGTCACCGAAAAGTGAGTTATTTGGTAAGTACATGTCATTACCATGTCTTTTTTCAGATTTATCACAAAAACAGTTTTCATAAATTCAACATGCTCCACAGTTTTTCATTGACTGAATGTAATTTAAACATAGAATGACACATGAAAGCGCTTGTAACTGCTACATGCTCCAATAATCCTCTACTGAACAATATGAAATCACATTTAGAAACCATACGATTTACAATACCAGCAACACTTACATTTGGTGGTTATGAAAGACATGAAGAAAGTAGGTGCACATTAAACAACGCCATCAACCAACCAACTTATGCCGTGACATTATCAAACAAGAAATGTGCAACAAAGAAAATGAAACAACAATGCAAACAAAAATTATACGTGCCACTGGAAACAAAACAAAAATGCGAAAGAGGATGTCGTGTAAGTACCCACTTACAACATGGGCAACCACAAGTACCATCCGTCGTACATTTAAAAAAAAATTCAATATACATAAATAAAGTGTATATACTAAGTAAATATGCATACTTGGGTATAATTTTTCTTTTGAAAATTTAAAATTTAAGATCAGGAATTCTGTGCTGGTCCCTGTGAAATTGCTTAATGCTACACGGACTTCAGGAACAGATTTTCTACAATTAATAAAGGTTCCATGTTAGTGGTGGAATTTCACATATCTAGAGATATGCTTTTTAAATGTTCTTTTTACATTTTAAAGAAATGTGATATTATTGCAACAATCCCATATCCAAGGTGCCCAACTTTGTTGATCTCTGGATCCACACGGTCTATTCGAACTCTACTAGAATGATTGATTATTTCTTAAAACAAATTAAAATTTAATTATTTAATTTTATTATGATTGCAGAATAATTTACATATTTAGGGCTGTTTAATTTGTATTCGGAGGCTAGTATAAGGCCTAGGTGAAATCGTGAATCGGTATTACTCATGCCGTTATATAAGAATCAATATATTCATAATAATAAAACCACCCTAATATAAGTATTCTTTTATATACACCTTTCTAAAAGTTTTTGTTAAATGTTTTCATATATTCATATATTCTTCATCTTCAAAATGTTTTTATGTATTCAGTACATGAAGTGAATCCATAAACAGCTGTAAAATATAATAAACCGGGTAAAGAAAGCTCAAGTATAAGATACATTTTTCATAAAGTATATATTTTTAGAACGAAAAATAATATTCAATAATAATACACAGAAAAAACTGAAAAACGATTTCAATTACCAAAACCTCGTTTTCAATTATTTTATTTTTTGAAGTTCAACCTATAACAAAAATTGTATATTCAATTACTACTTATAATTGATTTCGTACACAAAATTTTTATTTTTTTCTATTTTTGTTGTTGTTAAATACCTATTTGATTATACATTTTTATGAATCAAATACAAAATGAATTGAACCCTTTTAAAATTTTTGATTAATCGTTTAATTGAAAATTTTTTAAAATTAATTTTTTCTGTGTAATAAAAAAATTAAAATGAAGCTCTTCAATTTATTTTCTACATCCTAAAGTATTTTCTTAAGGTGACTTTCAAAATACTTGCTATTGATATCGAAGGACTCTTACCACTATCAGGATCTATGCAGTACATATTTCGAAAAAATTTTCTTCTGTAAGATTTATTGTTTTTAAGTTGTTGCATATTTAAAGGTCAGATACAAGTACTTACATACTATACAATTTTTATTGTAAAATATTACCAAAGGCTACGACGACATACATACTTGCGTAGAGTATGTATTCAATCACACAATTTTGTGTACACTCAAAAAAATACAAATATGTATTTGTCACTAATTATAGATATCAGGTGAGAAATTCAAAGAAAATTTTTAAGAAAATACTTTGGTGCAAAAACATTCCGCGGCAAATCGCTTTTCTCAAACCTTTCTCGATTTGAAATTTTCAAAAATTGTATGAAAGTTATAACCATAATGTACATAAATATGTTACATCACATCCAAAGAAATAGACCTAGGCCTCCACGAGGCCTGTTGTGCGCTTCTTTTCAGTGTGAGAACTGAACCCATGATCTCCGGTCTAACAGACTAGAACAGTAACCATTAACTCCCCGGAGGTACACAGCATACTTAATAAGAAACAAGTAGGAAAGTATAGTCGGGTATGGCCGACCATATGATACCCTACACCACTGAGTATGTTAAAAATGTGGACTAGTTTTAATAACAAAGCATTAAAGTTTTTACCTTAATTCCAAAATATTTTAACAATTTGTTGAAAAAAGTGATTTTCTAAAAGTTATATGGGGCAAGGGTTATATGGGGGCAAGTGTAAATATGGGCCTATACTTATAAATTTTGGTATATGGCTTTACGTTTACATTAGAGTTTTGTATGCTGGATTTCATCGTGATACTAGTGTCTATTAGTGAATTATTGACCTTCAAGTCATTTTCTGAAAGCGACTTTGTATGAGGGCTACGGTCAAATAAAGTCCGATAATTACGAAAATCGGTAGTAGTATTATTAAGACGTATATAGAACTAAGTTTTGCCGATTTTTATAGAGATACTACAATATTTAACATAATTATAAACTCAAAAGCCCTTTTCGGGGGCTAGGGTTGTATGGGGGCTAGGTGAAATAATTAACCGATTTCAACCATTTTCAATAGGCTTCGTCGAAAAACACGTATGGTCCAAATTTCATCAAAATATCTTGAAAATTGCGACCTGTATCTTGCGCACAAAGTTTACATGGACAGCCAGCCAGCCGGACAGACGGACAGACGGACGGACGAACATGAAAGAAATTCTGAGACGATGGGTATACTTTAAGGTGGGTGTAGGACCAATATTTTTGTGCGTTACAAACATCAGCACAAACGTATAATAACCTACCCACTATGATGGTGTAGGGTATAAAAAATAATTTATGTAGAAAATTTAGAAATCGCCCGTCTGTATACAGTAGTTTAAAAAAAATATTATATTAAC